TGTCTTCATCATCTTGAATCCAGACGTTCTACAAGCAGTCGGGGGGAAGTCCTCGGGGACGGTGATAGAAGAGGTGAATCTGCTTCCCGAGCGTACAGAGGAGCCATGTGCATGGTTCAGGCATGATCTTGGGAAAGCGGGCAATTGGATGACGGGAGGGCGCACGCCTATTATAGGGACACACGGACGTGACCATATCTGCATGGATACTTTGTCTTTGAAGCGTTGCCGGTGAGGATAGCCTCGAGTTAAAAGATAAATCGAACTGGCATCCTATCGACGGAACAAGTTGATCAAGAGTTTGAGAAGTACCAGACTGTAAAGGCTAGCATAGCGGTAACGGGCAGGCCCAGGCAGAACGCTCCTAACTTGATACCATACAAATTCAGCCCATCTGGCACCTCTCGGTCTTCTGGAATGCGGCAATACTACCCTTGCAGACTGGACTAGTTCTGTCGACACCTCGACCCCGTGCAACGTGGACACGTCGGAAGTATATGGGGCCGGTCTTTTCGTTTCTGGTTCAGGAATGCCAAGGTCTGTCCTCCGTCGGCGGTGTAACTTCCAAAACGGCTCATCTCCGTCCCAATGATTAGGTAAATACGTGTACAGACAAACACAAGTCTGTTAATCCACTTGACGTCTCAAAAGGTCCGGCTTAGCTATGAGTTGAAGGCGTTCGACCTCTTTGATTTGACGATGGTAAACTATCAAGCATTCATGTCATTTCTCTTTATTTAATGACGTGTTATGCAGACGTTCTCTTCTTCCTCTGGATAAAGAGAATGCGACATGGATTCCTTTGAGCAATGCCATCTGTGCTCCAATTAGATATTCACCGATTAGAGTTGCTTCATTCTATAAACGCCTAGAACTTGTTCAGAAGCTCTGTATGACATTCAATACTATGCTCGAAATCTCCTACTCACGTCCTCGATTGTTCTGATCTTATTTCTGTCCTGCGTGTTTCGTTTTCCCTTACACAAGGTTGGTTGTTTACTCCGTTGTGTTGATCGTCCTGGCTGACAAACTCGGATTCGATAGAGCACTATTTGACGTTTTCTGCTCGCAAGAGGCGCCTCGTTCCTGGGTCGATCCCTATTTGGAACAATCCGCCACTAGGTTGTGTCTGCCACTCTTTTGACAATGTTCTCAATTTACCGCGCAATTTCAGACAAAGACGAGACAACAACTCAAATAAAGACTGACAAGAGGCTGAATCATTCTCTCTTCAATTCTTTCCTTTCTGCTATGCCCCGATCTTCGAAGCTTTGCCAACCCGGGCTCCATACTTCATCGTCTACTTCCCGTACCGACGTTTATTTTGTATCAAACGTCTCGCTTCCAAAGACTGCCACCATAATCTGGGAATGGACTCAGTGGTCACCGACAACAGCCTTGCCACCCTATTTCACGGACTTCTGTAACGATTTCAGAGGTGTGAAGTATACTGTTCCCCCGGGAGATCGTGTCCACCTTCTAGGGTTTCGTTTCCGCCATATCGACGAGTTCATAGACTGTATAGGCCGTCTCCCGGGATTTCAGGACGTCGAACGTCTAAGCGTCGAGCAGCTGTTTTTCGATGAGTACCCGTCGATGGCTAGCCTGTCAGAGGCATTTCGAGATCCGCGCCTTGGTGAGATTAAGGAGCTCACCCTCCAGCTGTTCCACGGGGTCGCAGTAGAGTTTCCCGCTCCTGTGCTTATCGCACTGCTTGCTCACTGCAAGCGTCTCGAGCATGTACACTTCCGCGGATGTGGGCTCTCCAACGGCAATAGCAATAGTCTGAGGGGCTGTGAAATGTGGCAACATTGGCTCTCTCTATCGCACGGAAAGGCTTACGCTGTCGTCAAGGAACGCAGTATCGAGACCATTAGTTTCGAAGACGTGGACTTCCAGCGTATGGAGGATGTACTGGCTTTCGTGTCTGCTTCTGAGTCCCCGTTCAATCTTGAAGGCCTCCGCTGTCTTTCGATCCCCAGTCTCACCGACTTAGAGCCGCCCTCCGATAGCTTTTGCGCGACCCTGAAACAGATTCTCGTAAGGGTCAGCGAGCATCTCGAAGTGCTTCGATTGAGTTTTACCCTAAGAGATAACTGTGAGTCTGATTATTCATCACCTGCCAGTACTAGGTGGCTGACTTCAACCTCAGTGATGGCCTTACCTCGTCTTCGCACCCTGGGGCTGTACGTCGGAAAGAGGGCCCGACGTGGCACGGAATTACTGCGTTGGGGTGCTGAAATCTTAGCGAATGAGACTGTGGCGCCATCCATCGAGATTGGTTTCGCGTCTGCGTCGATGCGGTGGGACTGGCAGGATGAACTGCCACAACCCCGTGAAGAGGAGATGAGTCTTGTTGATTTGGTCAAGAGGAGGCACGGTGTCGGCCAGGGCATTCACGAGGAATTGTCGGATCTATTTTCGTCTTTTGACGGCCTGGATGAGATTTTAGCTGCTCGAGTCGCGCAAGGAGTTGTGATGAATCTACGGATCATTGGTCCCAGTCGAGACGAATCCGGTTTGGATTGGAACGAGGTGCTGCGGAGTACTTTCTTCCCTCGTTCCGTGGATAAATCATAACTCTGTCGGGTTCCTTCGAGTGTATATCGTTAATGGACGAGTATGTGAATGTCCTGCGGAAGTGGAACAATCGATGTGACGAAGTTTACCGCGTAAGGCCCTCAGAGGTCGCGTGTTCGAGCGTAGCCGTTACGAAGAAGTCATCTGCCACAAATTTCCCCTTAGGTCCTGGGACCTCTTCGAAATTTGAACCATTCAGATCACTTCACCACTTTGGTTTCGTGGCATCTAAAACCGAAACACGAGTATGCGACGTTCCGGAGGCGAACTCGACGAACCCAAAATTCGAGAGCCGAGGACGTTCTCAGAAACACCGGAATGTTATAGTCGTGTTCGACGCTCATTTGACTATGTTTTGTTCTCTACGACGGTTTTTGGAATCAAGTAAAAATAGCTTTGCATCCGCATCGTAACCTGCTCGGCCCAGCACGTAACTGACAACGCGAAATGTTTCAAACGTTGCCTCTCTCCGTCTGAACATCGGATGGAATCTTCTGGAGCTGCGAATGCACTAGTGTCGTGGCCCCGCTGCTGCGCCCGGTTGTTCAAGCAACAGTAATGATGCAAATAAATTCGCCGTTACCAATATTTAAAGGACGGCGGGAGCTGTGTCGTATCACAGAAATGTTTTTCCCTTCCTTCAGATCTCTAACATTCTTTTCTCTTCTCCCTCTTTTTGCCAACCTGGTAGATGCAACTCCTGTGCTGAAGCGCGAAAGCCGTACTTCGGCGCCTTCGGGCGCTGTTGTTGTGAGAGCTAGTGGAGCGGCGTCCGGAGAATACAGCACGGTGCAGGCTGCCGTGGACTCGCTCGCTGATGATGGGACCGATCAGGTTATCTTCATTTATGAAGGCAACTGGAGTTTCCTAGTCGGACCTGTATTTCGAGGCTGATGGAGTCTGTTTAGGAACCTACACTGAACAAGTCTACATCGATCGCGATGGCCAGACGACGGTGCATACTCCTTTTTTGCAAATAGGATCCTGCTGATATCCGATGCCCAGATCATGGGGCAGACTTCTGATACCAGTAGCTACGCGAGCAACACGGTTACCATCACCTATTCGCTCTCTCTGGCTAGTGCGGATGATGATGATTCGACCGGGACCTTGCGCGTACACAAGGACGACTTTGCCCTATATAACGTCAATGTGAAGAACACGGTACGCCTGTACCCTATTATGCATGAGATTACGCTCTGATCATGTATCCTCTAGTTCGGTAAAGCTAGTACTGATGGCCAGGCATTGGCACTGAGTGCTTACGGAACAAACCATGGCTATTATGGTGTAGGCTTCTATAGGTGAATTATTTTCGTGGCTCTTTCTAAGACGAGTAGTATCTGACCATATCGAACAGCTATCAGGACACGGTACTCGCACAAACGGGTAACCAATTTTATGGATCCTGTTACATTGAAGGAGCGGTCGACTACATTTTCGGTCAATATGCAAGAGCCTACTTCCACCAGTCCACACTTGCTTCCGTCGGCGCTGGAGCAATCACTGCTAACGGGCGCCCATCGTCGGACGGAGTAAGCTTATGTGAGTGACCTCCTATTTTATGTCTTTCCAGGTTTTACGTCCATCCCAGATGTCATCAATGAATCGACTATCACTACTAGCAGTTCGGCGACGACATCTCTTGAGGGGCTGGTGTATCTCGGCCGTCCATGGGCAGCATATGCCCGGTATGTTTCCCAGTGGTTTGCCCTTATGTGCTGGGCTGACCAAAGTCACATAGGGTCGTTTACACCTCCTGCTCGCTCGGAGACTTGATCAACAGTGCTGGCTGGGAAGAATGGTCTAGCAGCGAACCCAATACTGACGGTGTCACATTTGCCGAGTACGGCAGTTCCGGTACGTTGACGTTGCTGCGCTTTCATGATACTTTACTAACGTTGATTCTTTCAGGGGACGGCGCTTCTGGAACTCGTGCGTCATTTGCTACAACGCTCACTTCGACCAGCGGCTACACAATATCGGATGTTCTGGGTAGTGATTACCCTGATTGGGTAGATAGCGATTATCTGTAACGTCCTCATCATGAATCCATGAGAGCGATGTGTATTGGTGCATCCAGAGAAATTGCAGCTGTTCTTGTCTCGTCTCTCTAAATATCTCGATTTGGGACGCAAAACCAAAGTTTCTAGGTAGAGCCAACAATGTGCTCAGTTCTTTTCTTTTCTCGGAAATTGGGAAGCACGGTCACAGCTCAGATCTAAGTACGTCACTTTCCGGACATATGGCAGTCCTGAATGATCCTGGAATTAAGATCCTCGATAGCATTTGGGAGGAGCAATGCTGGTAAATCATCGATTATAAGGCACGGCGATTGTACCTCGAAGCTTGAAGTTGGGCCACCAAGGGACAAAATAAAGGAAAAATACAGCATCGTAGGAGTCAGGACTGCAAAACACTGACAAGAGCGGGACTCGAACCCGCGCCCTTTCGGACCAGATTTATGAGAAGACAACAACGGCCTTGGTCCCGAATCCCGATGTTCGTCGTAAAATCGGGCTTCCTTAATCTGGCGCCTTAACCGCTCGGCCATCTTGCCGTGCAGAGCTTTTGAATGATACCATTTTCATCGTAAAGGACCTCGAAATGAGGGAAAAACAAATTGTGGAAGGGGGATGGAGGCGATGATCGAAAATTTACGTCGATCAAAGCTGACCTAATTGAGATTTTTTGAGCCACCGACTCGTTTGCCGACGGCTAATAGACCTCGGTATCTCGGTTTACAGGTACTGTCGATGGATTTATGGTGGACTGCTCAATTGAACTACACCGGTGCTAGCACTTATGTCGTGTAGAGCCGCTAATAGAATTCACATGATTTTACGCTCCCATATTTTTAATCGGCTGCATTCAATGCATTGCAGGGCCACAGTAGTACGGCAACTGTCTGAGTCCTGCGTAACCGAAGCATGCCAAGTGACGACATTCAGTAAGCCATATCAAGGTATGCCGAACCCGCTGTACTAATATTCTTCTTAACCATTTCCCAACCACCTCGGTCTTTGGTCTGTCACCTGTGGATACGGCAGGTGAGAAATGGATTCTATTGTCCTCGACAGTTGGCCTGTCGCTTCCAGTGTTAAAGCTTGTACAAAGTTTGTAGTCTGATTTAACAACGGGCCCTTGGACGGGCCACTCGAAATTGATCAATGCTTAAGTTTACGGTCGCGAAGAAACATGGCAAGGCAACGCTAGATGACGCTCTTCCAAGAATCAAGAGATTCTCATACATTAAGAGTACATGTAAATTCTGTAAGTAAAAGAGAACAAGAGAATGCTTCGATTAGTACACGATGTAAGGAAGCTTTATCGTACTTTTGTAGTATCGTTCGGGATAAAATGGGGTGTTGTACAACATGATTAGTAACTGATAAAGACAAAATAGAGATCAACCGATGAGCGAAATGATTGTACACAACAAAGTGAATGTTCCATGGCCAGCTGGATTTTGATTTTCAAGGCATCGGTGGAGACACGATCACGACGAAGTCCACGTCTGAAACCTCGCTTCAGAACGAGAAACGTATGGCCGACTAGTCACTGTCCCAGTCAGATCGTCATCGCCTTCAGACGCGCACAAGTGACTCACTGGCTTTCCGGGAACGCGATGTACTGGCAGCCCGGCTTGCAAGGCTTCCCCACCTCGATGCGCCTCTTCTCCTTTCTTGGCATCCCATCGCATAAGCACTTGGGAGCCGCGGCGCCATCGAGCCATGCGCGCTTATCGGAGAGGTATTTCTGGCGCTGTGGGCATTGGACGCGACTTTCGGTGGTAGTAACTTTGCCGCAAGTGTAGGTGTATTGGGTAATTATGTGAAGGCACATTTTAACGAAGGGAGAGAGATATTAGATGGTAGAGAGAAATGCGAGAGATGAACTTCCGGCCGGGGAAGAATGGGGACAAGACGAAGAATGGGAGTCATTATAAAGGTCGTTGAGAACTGTGAGTGGAAGGCCCGATGACCCGGACGAATCGAGAAGATCATTTGGGGGTTGTGGAATTTGAGACGTAAGAGAAATCCACCCTCGGGGACAATAGAGATTTTTTTAATATACAGTCACAGTCAGAAGGAAAAAAGATCGCACTTGCCCCTTGCAGGGCTTGAAAATCCTATTGGTGGCGTCCAAGGTTCAGAGTTAGATTCGCAGTGATTGGTCGACTCCTACAACCAGTCTAGACTCGAGTAGCGCTCGTATGCGATTGCCTAATGATGACGCATGGAACAATAATGCTCCGAAGCCACAAAGGCACATTCGGTTCGCAGTAATTGAGGTCCGGATAAACGAAACTTGTATGTACATATCTTGGTTGCCCTTCAGACTTTTGTATCCTCTGAAGAAATAGATTGGGCGTTGGTGCCCTCAGTTCTGACATTCACAGACGCACCTCGTGTAATTCCATGTCAGAAACGACACGGTACCTTACGTCCCAGGCCTTTACCTGCAGGGACGCGAGACACAATGTGAAAACGAGTGACTTGCATAAGTCCGTCAGAAGACAGAGGCAGGCCTGTGGGGTGGAGGCTTCTGTGGCGGGGAAGGCAGTCAAATGCTTGGACTATTCACCCTGAGCTGTCATGGCGACCCCACGATTATTTTTGCTGAAATCCCACAACGGGCTTCTACCAAGCCTAGGTCAAGGTCAGTGCTTCAGATTTAGAGCATAAGTTCAGCCTTGCTATCGGCCGTAAGAAGAGCCGTCGTGAATGATAGATGACTGCAACTTTGCAAACGGCGACATCCGATAAGAATCGGAGCCTCTCAAAAGCAGCGTCCTTCCTTCCTATTTCAACACGAATTTGACGGATTCAAGACGGATTACAGATTAATGCTTATCACCTGGTCTTTCCCAGGGTAAACAGAAGGAGGGACCGTCATATACGTAGATCCTGACCGGACGGCTGAAAGGCTCCGAGGAAGCCATAAGGCGATTCGAAGGGACCTCTCGATTTCCTGGAAGCGAGCTGGAAGGAAGATCACTTAGGTGGGTCGGAAATTGCAATGCCAACAGTGGCCGGCCCGCCGGCCCGCATTACCAGCTGCCGAAGGCGGCAACGTGTTTAGTTGCGCCCGTGCTTGCGCCGTCAATCCTTTCCTTTACTCCGCAACGACACATTTTCTCAGCAGCGATGGCGTCGCTTCAGCATTTTACGTCGAATTTAATGCCGCTTTCCTTGCCCTTTGTACTCTATCTCAGGATCTTTGCCACCTTTGATACTACTTGATGCGACACTTCGTGGCCAGACAAAAAAAATACCAACATATTCTCCAGCGATGGAATCCGGATTTCTTCGCATTTTCATGAAAGAATCATGAGGATAAACGCTGTCAGTGCGTCTATAGCTTGTATCTCGTTCCGTCTGGCTTACCTCTGGAGGTCTAGGTCGAAGATATTCTGAAGGAATCGTGTCGCAATATCCTGGTGCAGCGGAGAAAGACATCCGGACCAAATTAGAAGTAGACGGAGCCCAGGACGATTTCAGTGTTCAACCTAGATCAACCCTTCAGCCCCGGCAATTTTCCGTTACCCATTAAAGCGCTGGGCTGCGCCTATATCGACAGATACTTTAGACTCAGATCGACTGCGGCCATGTTTCTCTAGGACTATCCGGGCGATGTGGGCCTTGGCTTCTGATGCAAATAAACGGCACTACGGTGAGCTGTACGTTACTCCCCATACAGGTTTTTACTCATTATTTTCCCTTTAGTCTTCTCGTCGACGTCTCGTGTCATCCAGAAACTCTGTTTTTGAATGATGGCGTTTCGTTCACGATGTCTTGTTCAAACATAGTTCTTCGGCTAGTGCGATTGGCGATTTCTAAACGGAAACAAGCCCTTTTTCGAGATACTACCTCTCGTAGGTGTACTGTGCTGACGTCGAAGCGTCCAATGACAGTTCTCGTTACACGGTTCGCATCATGGTTAGTCTGTTGCTGTTTCAATATGCAGAGGACCAGCGCGCTTACTGTGCCACTTTAGGCTAGTACATTATGCGCTTGATGTGACGGTGCCTTCCCCTAGTAGCCTTCGCTGTGAAGACAGGTCCATACACCTTTGTAATGAGCCAACATCGCCACTTACCTAGGAACAGAACAGTTATACAGTCGAATCTCTCCTAACCCATAGCCCTTCGTCCTTCCCCAGGACCCACTTTTGCCATTCAGGACTGCCGTAGGTCATGCATCCTAAGATGATCTTGGACACTTTCAAGCCAGACTGTCCGAGGCGCACTTCACACACAGTGAGACTGGTGTCGAAGGTACAGAGCGCTACCTGACTCACCGTATTGCATACTAGAAGACATGGTGGTGGTCAATGATCAAGGAGTAGTTGGCTTATACATCCATGATGAAGCCTATTTATCATCTGATAGCGGCCCAATCACATCGCGAGAAAGAGTGGGAAGACTTGATCCAACAAGGTTCATTGCCAGGGCGATAACGTGCATTCGAACGACAGGAAAAGAAAGTTCGCGTTGTGCTTTCAGGAATAGCACACCAATCACTGGCGCCTGCGATGAATCTGTAATGCCGCTCGAAGCTGAGATAGCTGCTGCGCCTTCTGCATACGAAATTTAGACCTAAATCAGATGATAGCGCTGAAACACACGTTGCCACTGTTCTCAATCATATATTATGAGAGGACAGTATAGATCCTACGCTCGGCTTCTCCAAGTCCTCTGCGCCGTGAGGCACTCTGTCTTTGTTAAGCCTGCCAGTGGCGCCCAACTCGCGCCCAAGGGTCGACGCAGGTGCCTTCGGAATGAAGAGGAGAGAAATAGAAAGAAAGCCAAAAAGGAATCCCGACTAGGTTGAAAAGTTTTGAACGCACTGATGTTGCAAAATTTGGCCTGTACTAAGTTGGGCAAGATCAAAATCTGACGTAATCCGATCTCTCCTTCCTCCTCACCTTGTCCTCACCATTACCACCGCAACGCCCACCTTTTGTCCTTTTGTCCTTCTTGTTCACAAGCGAAGATTACGAGATGTGTCCTGTGAGCGGCCGATATATGTATATACTTGTCTATGGCGAGAAGCAGAAAGACGAATGTTTTCTTCCAGCGACTTCGAAATGCCTTGTTCCGAAGTTCGGTTAAGTATGTACTTGCGCGATCATCTTGCTATTCAACTGAATCATGGATGCCCATCATCAATGCTCTGGTCCAATGGGCCGACGGTAAAGAGGAACATGAACCGCACTTATTATATCTGTATGATTTCTTTGTGCTGATCTGCACAGTTGGACTGCTTGCTCACACAATTTCAAGAAAACGTCAGGGCCTCTTGGACGAGAGGGTAGTCCTCCCTCGAACTAACGTAAAATGATTGCAACACCATTGAGCTATTTCTATTCTCGATACCATTCAATTTTACGATGTAGAGACTCGACGTTTACATGAGCTGTGGCCGCATTGGGGTTCTGTGACTCCATTGCCAATGTAAATGTCTGACTATGCTCATTTTCATTCAAATTGTCGTGGATGTATGCGCGAGCTTGAGAAGTAAGATGCATGGCTCGCTTCTCATCTGATAGTTTTTG